TGCACCGGTTATAGAATTCCTTCATGTACAGGGCATTCAAGTGGTCTTTTATTTGGACGACGGTCTGATTATTCATCAGTCCCCAGTAATTTTGAGACAACACACGGAACAGGTTTGCACCTTACTAGCTCGGTTGGGGTGGATCCTGTCGAAAGAGAAATCGCGACTGGATCCGAGCCAGGATTTCATTTATATTGGGGGGCAGTTCAATACAAAGTTGGGCAGACTGAGCCCAACTGTGCAAAGAATATTGGGGATACAAGTCCTTCTGGAATCTCTTTTAAAAGCAAGGGAAGTGTCAGCGAGGTCAATTTTAGAAATTCTTGGCCACATGGCATCACTGATAGATTTAGTGCCATTAAGCAGACTTCACATGAGGAGTCTTCAGTTCTGTCTCCTGAGGCAGTGGAAACCCAAAATGGACAAAATTTCAAAGCTCATTTTGGTGTCGGAGAATGCGAAAACAGATTTAAGATGGTGGATGGAAACAGGAGAGATTTACCGTAAATCTGGAAATTTTAACGTCGATTTTATTTTGCGAATTCGGGTCAAAATGGTGCTGATTAATTTTTACGTTTCAAAATTTTGCGAATTACCACTGCTTTGTTTACATTTTCTTATAAATAATTTATTGTTAAGAAAAATATTTTTGCGAATGCAATGAACTCGCAAATTTGCTAAATATTTATCACAGCAAAAATTTCAAGATTTACGGTATGTCACAACAGATGCCTCCAAAACGGGTTGGGGAGCACATTGGGAGGACCAGATGGTCCAGGGCACTTGGAGCCCAGAGGAGATGAGAATGCATATAAATTTGTTGGAAATGAAGGCAGTGATACATGCTTTTACCAAATAGGCACATTACTGGCAGACGAAATCTGTGCTAGTTCGGTCAGGCAATGTATCGGTAGTCCAGTATATAAACAGGCAAGGGGGAACAGTGTCTCCCCTTCTGTGTCAACTAGCATTAAAATTATGGCAGAAGGCCGTGGAGAATCAAATAGTGCTGCGAGCAGCACATATAGCAGGGATTCGCAATGTTCTAGCGGATCAATTGAGCAGACAGAAGGTCAAAATCTGTCGGACGGAGTGGTCTCTAAAAGAAACGATTGTTCAGAGGATCTGGCTTCGGTATTACAATCCTCACATAGATCTGTTTGCGTCAGCAATGAATCACAAATTACCAACCTACTGCTCTTGGCAGAGAGACCCGAAGGCCTGGGCAATGGACAGTTTGTCAATCTCATGGGAGGGGATGCTGGGATATGCCTTCCCTCCGATAGTCCTGATCCCCAGAATTCTCGACCATGTGTCGAAGTTCAATTGCAGAGTACTACTAGTTGCTCCGAGGTGGCCACGCAGACCATGGTTCACTTGGATACTCAGCTTGTTACACGACATGCCGTCGGTGATTCAACCACAGCCGGACCTGCTGAGAATTGTTACACGAATTTCAGGTAATCTGGCCAATTTCAGGTGTAGAAGCAGACCGGCAGGAATTTCAGGCGCAGCTAGCAAGCTTATGCTGGCAGCCTGGAGGAGAGGTACTCAGAATGTCTATTCCTCTCAGTACAGAATCTTCAGAAGCTGGTGTTTGGAACGGGAAATTGATCCCTCTGCTGCATCTTTGAATGAGGCCTTGAATTTTTTGGCCTTTCTGTATGAATCAGGGAAACAGTATAGAACAATATGTGTCTATCGATCTATGTTGTCGAATGTTTTGACACCAGTTGATGGTAAGAATATAGGAGAACATCCAAGTGTTGTAAAATTATTGAGGGGAGTTTTTAACTCAAGACCCCCTAAGAAACAGTTAGTCCCAGAATGGGATTTGGAGTTAGTTTTGAGTTCTTTAAGAGGTATGCCTTTTGAACCCTTGAAGAAGGCTCCACTTAAGATTATTACATATAAGTTTGTTTTGCTTCTGGCAATTGTCACAGCCAGAAGGGTGAGCGACCTGAGCCACCTAGCCATTGGGGAATTTTGTAGAATTCAGAATTCAAAAATTACTTTCTTGCCAACTAATTTGGCAAAAGCAGATGATTCATCTCATTTTCTAAAGGAGATTTCATTTCCTCCTTCCCAGACAAACTACTTGATGTCAGGAGGGTAATGATGTACTATTTAAAAGCTACTAAAAATTAAGGGTGTCATCTAAAGACCCTAGGGCCTTATTAAGGGGTATGGCAAAGCCATATAATCCAGTGTCATCCCAGACGATCTCAAAATGGATATCGTCTGCTATTAGATTGTGTTATGAAGTATCAGCTCACTCTGATATTCCATCAGCGAGGGCACATTCGGTGAGAGCAATAGCTCCTAATTGGGCATGCTAGCTTGTTAATCACATGTTAGCTCGTAAAACCTAGATTTACGAGCTTAATCTCTAATTATTTGCAGTTTATGTTCATTTCCTTTGCACAGGTTGTACCATATTGAATTGAAATTTATTATACTGATTTATCAGAAGAATATCTAGGTCAAGTCCTGTTATAGGTACGAACAGGTTACTATTATTTTGTACAGAGTTACGTTTCTTGAACTTAGAAAAAATTCCAATTATTTGCTGTTTCAGTTCATTTTCTTTGCAGAAGTTGCACTCATTGAATTGAAATTCAGTATATAGATTTATTAGAAGAATATTTAGGTCAAGTTCTGTTTTGGATATGATTGGGTCATTTTGGCAAGAATTATGTTCCTTGAACTTAGAAAAAGTCCAATTATTTAGGGGAGAGTGACATCCGTGTTTTACAAACATCTCTTGTTCATTGGCCTGATATCAATGTTGAAGATTGATGAACAATTAGGCTGAACTTAAAAATATTTTTAATTTGGCTTGTAATAAAGGTTACATATATAGATTAAATTATTATTTGTACATTTCCATTCATTAAATCAAGTTGGGGAGTGAATTATCAAAACTATAATTAAAATTCTATTTTTCAAAATTGCAGTGTATTAACTATGCTTTTTAATTGTTTTGAACATTTCAGAAAAAGTATCTATATGCACTTTGTCATCAACAACTGGAAATTCATTGAATTTGTATATCCAGGGAACCAAGATAACTTCCCTATATCAGTGAATTTTCTATATTTGTTTTCGTACTAATCAAGATTTGCTATATCCCTCTCTTCCTTGCTATAGTTTCAAATAATTGTATCCTATATAAATTAATTTATAAAAAAAATTATTTTCCTTTGAAGGGAAAGGACTCGAGACAGAGAAAGAGCCTAAGGCAAAACGAAAAATAAAATCCAGGGAAATTAAGAAAACCAAACTTTCCCCAAAACAAGGTAATTATATTCATGTATATAACTTTATAGTATAATGTGTGTGCATGTATGTATTGTGCTTGACAGATTAATTTTTTTTTTATGTTTCAACAATTTTTAATATTATATATTTATATAGATGCAAAACTTTAAATAGAATTTGATATTTACAAAGTATTTTTTATTTTTTTTTAAATAACTCTTTAAAAATAAAAAAAAGAAAGAGCTAGTACACAGTACATTCAAGAAACAGTATTGAAGTGCATCTTAATTGCATGCATTTAAAAACCATGCATTGGCTACAAATATTGAGGGAGTTTTGTACGGAAGAAAGATAATTCAGTCAGAGAAAATTTTGTATGGAGCATATTCATGCAGTTAAATCATCAAATGATATTATATTGATAGACTCGATTACTCATGCAGATACATGAATATTTCCATTTCTTACTTTTGTCTCTGTGATAACTCTTTGAAACTTACGGAGTTAATTTCTTGATAAATCTGCCGGAATGTAAATTAGGTAGGTCGAAAGGGTTGAAATGAGCATAGAATTACATGAATGATCTGAATCGTCAAAGAAAAAATAGGTTTATTTCGAAAAGTCAAATGCAATGTTTCAGCGAATCAAAAAGAATAAAACAAAAATGTTATTGTTGTCTGACTTAGTGCATGATGTGGGCTCCATGTTTTTTTTCTCTCAAGGTCAGCATCACTAATTGAGTAATTATTTGGCTGGGTGACTGTAACAAGTTTAATAAAAAAACTTTTATCAGAGTTAAATATATACTCTCTTCATTTTGTAGATTTGAGTGTAAATTGTTTTTGTCTGTGCTTTTCTGTGTTATCAGGTTGTACTGTGTGCGCCTTACGCTTTCTGTTCCTGTTTCTGTGAAACCGAATATCAGATAGCCACCTGTAACCAAGTATCGGTGTGTCCAGTCAATGCAGAGGTCGTAAGAGTAGAGTGTCACGTTAATGAAATTAAAATTAATACCGAGATTCCTCAGGTGATCATTCGCGGGGAGTGTCGGAATTTAACGCAATACACCTTCTTGTGCAGATATAAAATAAAAGAAATAAAATCGTCATCAACCGGTGAACATTTTTTATGTGAAGGTATTTCTTTTTCTTAAGATACTGTATACTGATGTTACGATGTTGGTAAAAGAATAGCATGCATGACACCAAAATATTATCATGTATGTAAAACAAAAAAAGGAAAGGAGATAAGGATTTCTTATGTTCAGTTGTCCCACAATGCGATCAATGCTTTATTTAACCAGAAGTCTCTGTCGAGACTGTAGCTCTACTGGTTTATACTTAAAACAAAGGAAGAGAAAAGAAGCAGTTGCGACTTGAGACTTCAAAACAGCATTCAATAGAAAAATGATCCTTGCCACCCATCAAAATAAAACCAGATGCACAGAATTATGTATCTTAGTGTAGTCTACTTGTGTGCCAAGTTATATTGAAATCGGACCAAAACTGTAGGAGAAGTACCATTTGGAAAGAATTTCACAGAAATTTCTATTTTCGCAGTAAGGTTAAGGCAACCCATAGAAAAAAATATGGTAATGAGGTCATAATGAGGTTTGACGTCATGACAGTTGCTCCGCCCTGATTGATCCTTATAAGGAAATAGAGCTCAAAATAACTATTTACCGATATTTGCAAGAATTTGTAACAAACGGCAATATTTCCATGTTTAAATAAATAATTATTAGTGATTTTCTCCTATATAGAATAGCATGTTTTTAAAATAATTCTCTTTCTTATGTGCCGTTTGGCTGCATTCGGCTTCAGCCAAGCGCTTGCACTCGATGACACGGAATGTTGTTTACATCTAAAAACGTGGCGACATCAGCTGAGATATGCAGTGGATTTAAATGCAATAACCAGACATTCTTTAAAGAAAATAGGGATAAGATGAGAGACAAGGCATTGTTTATCCCTATTACGAGAATATGAGGACATTATCACAGAAAATAACGGAAGACTGAGACGATCTGCGCTAGCTCCCTAGATCCATCACTGCAGTGCATTCAGCCCAGGTATGTATGCACATGTATGTACAATGTGTAGATATGCTTTTGTTAACATCGAATAAAAAAACGATCACAAGTGTGTACGTGTTTATTTCGATGCATTATCACAGTCAGTGAAAAACTAATGCAGTGCAGTGTGTGTCGCCCCCCCCCCCCCCCTTCCCAACAGCCCACATAAATTTGATCCTTTTTTTAATAGAAATTTAAAAATGTAATTGTACTAAATATAGAGTCGATTAGCTTATTTTCTTTGAGACAGCATGTGTAATAAGAGGGTTCAACAGTAATACAAACTTAAACTAAATTAAATTTGAAATTTCATTGTTGCAGTCAATGAGTTGACAATGATTTACTGAACATGTAATGTTGTCTTTTTGGCATACAAACATGCTACATAATGTAAAGAACATTATCTTTATCATTATGTTGAAAACAAAGAACCTCCACTTTAGATCTATGGTTTTAAATTCATAGAATTTCTAAATTAATGGGGAATAAATTTTTTTTTTTGTTTGATTTCATGTCAAGTCAATTAATTTCTGTAATTTATATAATACTTTTATTATTGTAGCAGTCAAGAGTTCCAGGCTTGAAGAATAAATAAATACAAAATGCACCCATTTCTCCACAGGGTATGTACACTTATAAAGCATTTCACATTTTTTTAAACCATGCATGTGTGCATGATTATATTTATTTTTCATTTTGGTAAAGATGAAAGAATGTTTTTTCATATTCTAATTATTTGCTCTTGTAAATGTCAGAGGTTTTAATTTCCCAGAAAAGCTTTGTAATACAACTTTGTTTCCATTTATCTTTTAATATGAATTTCATAAATTCATTATGTACAGCATAAAGTATATCATAAGTTGTTTTGTCAAATGTAATGTGATTTTATTATACAATGTATTTTATTTAGTAATCTCATAGCAATAGTATATATAATGTGTTGCAGCTATTCCTAAAGAATTGGACCAATGTATTCATTCATAACCAAATTACCATTCAATATTCCTGACAAACAATAAAATATAACAGTAGAATTGCAAATATTTAATTATGCATCCAATGTTTGTGCATGTATCCATGCATTGTTCGGAATTTAATTCAATTTTAAACACCATTTTACTCTCAATAATGGTATGTTACTACAAGTATGTCCTGATTTTCTCATACATGTATTTTCAGAATTGATTTCATCCACAAGAATATGAAGTGATGGAAATGATTTGCAGCTGCTCAGTATTCCTTGTACAGTCGACCATAATTTGGAAAGCTGTTTATGAAATAAAATTTCTTCATAAAAAATTATTTGACTTTTTCATATACATGTACATGTACTTACTGTACAGGTGTTGAAAAGGCTATTAAGATTAGATAATCTTGACTTGCATATATTTGTGTGGTGGGTGTCAATGTCCATCAAGTTTTTAGCTCACATGAGCCGAAGGCTCAAGTGATCTTTTCTGATCACATTTTGTCCGGCGTCCGTCTGTCCGTCTGTCTGTCTCTCCGTCTGTCCGTCTGTCTGTCTGTAAACTTTTCACATTTTCGACTTCTTCTCAAGAACCACTGAGCCAATTTCAACCAAACTTGGCACAAAGTATCCTTGGGTAAAGGGGATTCAAGTTTGTTCAAATGAAGGGCCACGCCCTTTTCCAAGGGGAGATAATCATGAATTTGTTAAAAATTAATGGCATTTTTTAAAAATCTTCTTCTCCAGAACCACTGGGCCAGGAAAGATGAAACTCATGTGGAATCATCCTCAGGTAGTGTAGATTCAAGTTTGTTCAAATCATGACCCCCGGGGCAAGGGTGGGGCCAAAATGGCCGACCCAAGTTTTACATAGGAATATATAGGAAAAATCTTTAGAAATCTTCTTCTCCAGAACCACTGGGCCAGGAAAGATGAAACTCATGTGGAATCATCCTCAGGTAGTGTAGATTCGAGTTTGTTCAAAACATGACCCCCGGGGCAAGGGTGGGGCCAAAATGGCCGACCCAAGTTTTACATAGGAATATACAAGAAAAATCTTTAAAAATCTTCTTCTCCAGAACCACTGGGCCAGGAAAGATGAAACTCATGTGGAATCATCCTCAGGTAGTGTAGATTCAAGTTTGTTCAAATCATGACCCCGGGGGCAAGGGTGGGGCCAAAATGGCCGACCCAAGTTTTACATAGGAATATATAGGAAAAATCTTTAAAAATCTTCTTCTCCAGAACCACTGGGCCAGGAAAGATGAAACTCATGTGGAATCATCCTCAGGTAGTGTAGATTCAAGTTTGTTCAAATCATGACCCCTGGGGCTAGGCTGGGGCCAAAATGGCCGACCCAAGTTTTACATAGGGATATATAGGGAAACCTTTTAAACTCTGCTTTTCAAGTACTTCAAAGCTATGATTATTGATATTTATATGGAATCATCTTCAGGTAGTGTAGATTCTAGTTTGTTCAAATGATGAACGCCCGGAGGGGCGGGGGGTAAATTCAAGCCCGATGTGCTCAGGTGAGCGCTGTGGCCCCTGGGCCTCTTGTTATTTCCAGCATGTACATTGTGTACATTTGTTTTTCTTAATAATAGTAACTGAAAAGGAGATTAAAGGCTCCCCTAATTGATTCAAAACAGGAAAGGGGACCACCATTTTATTCTGAAGGGAGGGGGTGGTGGCAAGTTTTCCCAGGTCATTATTTTTTTTTTTAATTTCTTTTCATGTCAATGAAGAACAGGTCTACTAATATTTATTTCCAATAAGATAAAGGACAGATTATTTATTTTTCTCTTCACTGAAAAATGTCTGACAAGCTAAAAAAAAATAATTTATAGGAGGGGGGAACACTGGTCTGGGGCAGATTATCTATTTTTTATCCAGTGTGGGACATATTTATTTTCAACATTTTTGAGAACTACCCCCCCCCCCTCTTTTGGAAAAAAATGGTAGTCCCTTTAACAAATCCAGGAATATTTATGATTTCCACTAAGTTTTTCTTCTTAAAACGTACACCTTAAATCCCATAGGAGTTGAAGGTTTGAAAGAAAGCCATGATAGAATCTTGTATGCGAAAAAAAAAATATTTGTACATAAGTGTACATGTATGTACAGCAGTGACAGAAAGGTATAAATTTATCGAATCAATTATTGATGGAGGCTTTCAATTGACTATTTTAATTGAATATTCCCATTTTTATTAACAATCGGCCTTTTAAATTACATGCTGCGGCAAACGTTACACGTAGCTGCATGTGTGTTTACACATATTCGAGGAAATGCGGAAGGACTGAAAGACGTCTTATAACATACATAATTCATACATTGTATAGAGAACGAAGTCACAAAATAGAAAGTAATATCCAGTGTTTTATGCATACTGTTCGATTAAGTAAAAAGATCCCAGCGCAGTCTGCAATTATAGGCCTATAGTTAAAATCTACTAGGTAAACAAACTTTATCAAATACTAAAGAGTTATCTCCCATGCTGGGTCAACGATGCGTTTGAAAACTATATTTAGACTGACTGTACCTAGATGTCAATTTTTAATCAAAAAGTTCAAGGGCAAGGCGACAATTTTATACGTAGGTTTTTATTTTAAATTATTCATTTTACTGTATAGTTTTCAAAAAGTGATGCTCATTTCTTTGTAATCATTTAGGTAATTTATAATTTCCGATGATATTAGGAAAAAACGCTATTTTTCATATACTACTGACTGTTTTAGGTGAATAACTTAAATGTATCGGCAAACTAACTGAATGAGCATCACTTTTGTGAAAGTATAGATACCTAGGGACAATTTAAAACATTGTGCAGTTATTTGTTTGGTTGCCTTGCCCTTGAACTTTTTGGTTAAATTTAACATTTCATTTGTTGACCTAAAATCGGAGCCCACGTGACTTTAGAGGGTCACATGATCAAAAAAATTCCGAGGTGAATAGCAATGGACATAATCTTCAAGATAACATAAAGCTATTTTAACTAGAGTGTCTTGCTGAAAAATAAAATAGTTAAACATTAATTGTATCGTTTTCGGTGACTTTTTATAGAAAATGTTGCCTTAACTGTACTGCGTTTAGTAACCATGGCAACACCGTTCATCGAAATCAAAAACCGATGCACAGAATTTTGTATCTTAGTGTAGTCTACTTGTCAGCCAAGTTATTCTGAAATCGGATCAAAACTGTAGGAGGAGTAGCATTTTGAAAGAATTTCAAAGAAATTTCTATTTTTGGTAACCATGGCAACACCGTTCATCGAAATCAAAAACCCATGCACAGAATTATGTATCTTAGTGTAGTCTACTTGTCAGCCAAGTTATACTGAAATTGGACCAAAACTGTTGGAGAAGTAGCATTTTGAAAGAATCTCAAAGAAATTTCTATTTTTGGTAACCATGGCAACACCGTTCATCGAAATCAAAAACCGATGCACAGAATTATGTATCTTAGTGTAGTCTACTTGTGTGCCAAGTTATATTCAAATCGGACCAAAACTGTAGGAGGAGTAGCATTTTGAAGAATTGTTTACAGACAGACAGACGGACGGACGGACGGACGCATTACTATCGCATAAGCTCTTCTGGTCTCTGACCAGTAGAGCTAAAAACCAACTAATAAGCCTATACTCCCCAGCATCCTTTTGATTAACTGTGTCGAGTACATCAAAGAATTTCATAATCTCTCTGTGAAGTACTTTTCAAAGACTAAGTAGACTCTTTCACTCATGGGAAAACTGTCTTTCTCCAAAATCTTTGTATCGACAGTCATTTAATCTTTTTTCTTCCGATTGTTTTTGTCTTACTGCATTATTGTCAAAAATGACGTGCGATCTACACGACGGTGTGGTCAGGTGTGGAGGTAATGTAAATTTTGTAGAATTGAATTAGATATGCGCATTTTTATTCTATTTTGTTTAGAAAATTTTATATGGAACGACGATGAATTATAATAATAATAATATATCGTTTTTTTCAAATAAAAGAGTAATAATTATTTCAGTTGCAACAACAATGAATCCGTTGTCACCTGCAGTGGTAGAGAAACGTGAGTCTTCTTTTGTTTGGCATGCTTTTGAAGTTGATGAGATTTCTTAAATTCGATTCTGATCTGTAAAATGCAGAATTGAGTGGAAACAAAAGCGATTAATGAACTGAATTGAAAAGGTCGTTTATTATTTTTTTCTGCATCAATGTGATCCATGTCACGAGGCTATCTGATAATGCTTCAATGATAGAAAAAAAAGTTAAGAATCACACACGTACAGTATCAATTATATCTTTCATTCTAATGAAAATAAAAAAGAACTTGATTGTAATTCCAACCTATGATTTACATCGTAAGTGATCACGTTAATGTTAAAAAGTTTTTGATTTACGTTTTAATTGACATGAAATTATTTTTATTCCTTTTGTTTTTAAGGAAAAATTATACATAAAAGAAAGTTTAATTCTTATACCAAGGACTAAAAAAAAATATTTCTCACATCTTTCGAACAGATCCATATATTTCATTACATATACTTTAGAAGTCACATCAGAGAAGTACTCTAGACCGGAACTGACGGCTACGGTACCTATCAGCATTCCTCAACTCTCCGATCAGACTCACCACAGTGACAATTCATCTACACGCACGACTCCTAAGCTGTCACAGATATAATTAATTCTTTCACCACCGACACCAACACAACCCATTTCTGCACATAATGCATAATTATCTCCCCTTGGAAAAGGGCGTGGCCCTTCACCTAAGGATACTTTGTGCAAAGTTTGGTTGAAATTGGCCGAGTGATTCTTGAGAAGAAGTCGAAAATGCGAAAAGTTAACTACGACAACGACGACGACAGACAACGGACAAATTTTGATCAGAAAAGCTCACTTGAGCCTTCGGCTCAGGTGAGCTAAAAATCATGCAATTTTCTTTAAAAGCATGGATACCTATGATTTTTATTCCTAAAATGTATTTCTTGATCAATTATGCAGTTGGTAGTTCTAATC